TATAATATAACTATTATATAAAATATATTACATTAAAAAAAATCTTTTTCTTTATAATATATTATCTTAACATCTTTTTAAGAAATATAAGAAAATAATATATAACTATGACGTCAATTATAATTTTTTCTTTATTTGTTTTTCCTAATTGTATTATTTTTTAGAATATATATAATTATAAATCTCTTTTTTATTAAGATATACGTATATTTAAATTGGATTATGCTGAAAACTTAGACATAACAATTATATATAAATCTTTAAATTATATTTAAATTTTTTATTAAATTAAATAATAAATGTTATATAATTGTTTGTAACAGTTTTACTGTATTTATCGGTTTTCTGATTTAATTAAATTTAATTGCATTTTAACAAAAATCTTAATTTTCATCGAATTAAATTAAAGAGGTCGCGGCGCGCACAAAGTCGACAAATCTTCGGCGTTTTCGCAGCGCGTAGTATCGTTGGTGCTTGACACTTGTATGCCTGAGTTTTTGATAGGAAGGAGAAAATACGCGAGTTCCTAAATTAATGATTTTCGATCAATTCGAACATTTCATTCATCTGAAGTGATATGTGAAAGTTGTCGGGCTACATTAATCATTTTTCAACGTGTTAACAAGACATTTTACGTGTCTTTATTTTCTAACCTATAATAATAGATATGTATATCTAGTTGTGTTTAATTAAATAGTATTAGAAAAAGATGACATCTTCCCAAACGACGGAGTTAACCGAGGAATTGGTTAAAGACTATGCGAATTATGCAAAAGTGGACTGGAGTAATCAAGTGAGTGTGCTATTTGTATTTTGTATCCTATCCATTATTGATATTCTGCTACTTAAGAAATTATTAAATAATTCGTGCTGGTTTTAGATGAAAAATGTTCGCGATGTCATAGAGGATACATTGATACGACTGGAGGAATTCCAATCGATTGTTGCAATGGTTAGATATGAATCTAAATAGAATACAAATGTATCGATCTGAAACATTAAACGTTTCTGTCTCTCAAGGTAGAGAATAGCAGTGCTGAATGCATGCAGCAACATCTTCCAAAGTTACAGCAAATGAAGGATGGTATGGCAATTCTTCGCAATAGGATAGATGCACTGGAGCACATTGTTGCAATGGCAAACATGAATTTAAGTACGTTGGAAGCTGCTGTAGACAAGGCAGAAGCTGATCTAGGTGTATCAGATAGATTATTCGGGATATTGAATCCTCTATCATTTTTTGTAAGTACGACATACTTAAAGGATACACTTTAGCATATATTTTAAATTATTAAATAATTAAATTATACATTTACAATATTACATTTTATATGATTGTCATGTACGTAATAATTTCTTAAGCAACTTGAATTGAATTTTTCAGAAGAAAACTCATGAACCAGTTGCGTCAAGTACAACATCAGTATATAAATCACCCGTAATTTATAAATCTGATGACTACTTTCAAAGAGAATAAAAAATATGTACATAAAAAGAGGTTTAGGTTAAGAAGCATCTGTTGTTAGATTAAGAAAAGTATTTATGAATTTATGTAGATCAGTAATTCTATACAAAAAAATAAAGTTCATTTTGTGGATATTAAATAAATCTATAATGGATTTTTATTTTATGTGTTATATTCTTGCCATTTATTACATCGATCAACAACTGCTTGATTAGTAAGATTGTATGTATATTATATTTCATGAAACACAATCACCTATGATAATGATTAATTGTAGACATTTCTAGTTCGTAAAAATACTATAAAAAAAACATTTATCTCATTTGTAAAGTTCTCAAAATTTTGAGTTTAAAATCTGCATCTTACAAAAATATTCAAATTTAATTTCTGAAGTAAAAACACATTCGTTTTTAGTGAAGAAATATATATGTATGAAAAATAAAATATAAAAATAAAAGATATATAAATGACGAAATCCGAATAACAGATAGAAGTTTCCATAGAACTATTTACTTAGAAAATTCTTTATAATTTTTAATTTTACACGTTTTTCTTTCTATTTAATTATCATTAATGAAACAATGTAAATTTCTTAAAACTACATTGTGTATGAAAAATATTTTAACATGCTGCGGAAGTACACGTTTTCAACTGAGCTTTCTTCTCCCCCAAGGAGCAACGTCCGCCTATGCAATGTCTCCATCTCATAATCTTGCCTATTCCACAAGTGACACTGCATGTTGACCAATTACCCCATTGATCCCATATTTTTGGTTCTCTGTTGTTTTTTTCTGAAATAATATCATACCAGTTATTCCACTTGTATAAAAATCAAATTCTAATGAATGTAGTAGAAAATCAAGATCAAGAATAAAATCTTTTAGTATATCGATATAATTATATAAGTTGTAATTATGTAAAGAAAAAACAAATTCTACAAAATCTAATTAAAGTATGAATTAACTGTAGAAGTTCACAGTTAAAAATATATTAAAAAAAAAAAACATTTCAATCATAGCTCAAACGTGCTTGATAACTTTCACTTACATTGGTTTCTTTGGAGAGAAAGGGATAGTTAAAAATTAAAAAGTATTTGAAGTAAACGATTCTATGGAACTTCCATCCATTAAACTTTATTACTTGTACACATTTCACTTGTATTATTTTTTATTCGTATTTTACATGTATACACGCATATATACACAACTTAGATTAAGTCAGATTCTAATATTAAAAATTAAGATTAATTGTTCTATCTCCTTTAATATAAGTTATAATTATTACGTCAAAAGATAAATTATATAAAATATTGCTAAAGAATTCTCGATATTAATTTTGCTTAGGTAATACGAGCATTTCTGACTTTAATAATAATTTACGTTCAAAAAAAATTTATCTGAAACACTTTTTATGCTGTAAAAACGTTTGTTAGCTAGATATTATTAATATTAAATATACGTTCATTAATCGTCAAAATGTCTCATAAAAAAGTATTTAAAATTAGTAAAAGAAATGTTTAATAGTAAATGTAGCGTGTACATTTATTAAATAGTTTCAAAAACATATCAAATTTTAAATGTTTATTTTTTGTTACATTTATTATGTAATTTCTAATGTTTATTAAATCCATTTTGAACATAATTGCGTTGATTGGGGATTAAAAGAAAACAGCCAAAATTTCTATCCTTTATCTAAATTTTACATTATTATTATAAATTTTAGTTATTCTTCAGTTTGATCGAATTGAGTGATTAGGAGTAAAAATTTAAATTTTTGCAAATATATGATATGCAACGTTGCACTCTTGTTGTTCATATCGCAAAAATTTCAAACCATGATGTTGCAAGAAAGAAAAGATATTCCAGCCATGTAACTCGTGGAAATTTCCATGCACTGCCCAAATGTTCACGCATGTTTCAATGATCGATATTGCGGAAAGGTAAATCTTGAACCGGTCTCGGAGAAAGCCACAATCACCGACCAGTGTGCGACCTGCGATTGCACATGATTCGCACCTACTCTTTTTTATTTATTTATTGACTCTCACGCTTCATTTACATAAAAAATCCACGTCTATATACAGTATTTAAAATAATGCTCATTAATCATATAGTGCTCCTAATAAAAAAATTAAGTAAAAAAATCCTCCACCATTTTGCAACTTTTGCGATATATTTTTTTTAATTACCTAATAAGTAAAATGTCTAAAATTGATGTACAAGAGACCTTTAAAATATTTTTAAATTCTAAGAAACATCTTCCAAATATTTTACAAAGAACATTAAAAGATATCTTAAAATTGTCTTATATATCGATTTTATTCGATTAATCTTTAGAAATTAATATCTCGTTAACTGTTGTGAAAATTACAAAATGAGTAAAGGACTTTTTGACTTAATTATTTTATTAGAAATAGCACTGTATGATTAGTGGGCGTTATTTAAGATACACCTTGTATAATTACTCTGTAATCACGCAAAAAAAATAAAATTACATAGTTTCATAAAGCTGTGCAACATTTCACAAGTGCGCTAGTTAATCGATATAACTTCGCGATAAAATGCCAATCGAATGAATTATTGATGTTGCAATAAACGCTTTTAAAAGTTCTATGGATTATCTAAAGAAAGACGTTATGAAAAGGCCAGTTTTTGTTGTCTGCCAATGAGGGAAATCGACTCAAACGTGTTCATGCTTGAAAACTCCGTTTTGTCTAATAATTTAATAATTATTAATGTAGCATTTTTATAAGTTGTTCTTTTTTACATTTTTAATATTAAAGAGAAAAAAACAAGATATTTGTTTCACGAATAACTATGACACCAAGCGTTTCTCGGAATAAGTTCAATTTTTTGTGTATTCCACGTGTTGTAATTTTAACTAACACCATCGGATTCTTTGCCTTAAAAATTATAAATAATGTCAATTTAATAAAAATCTTTTTATAACCCTTTTTTCTGTTTGTAGTAGAAAAAGTTTAATAATTAGTACAAATAACAGTATATACATATTCCAGCAATAAATCTTCATTGAAATTCGTTATTCTATAATTATATTAAACCTGTTTTATTTGTATCTTTTAATTGCAAATAGTTGATTTTACATGCAACCGCGTTTACCTCGTTTTATCAGTGACTGGATGTTAACATCTTCTTCGCGATCATCGTCAATATCGCGAAATATATCATAAATTTTACGTTGAAGTCTATCCGATTTTATTTTTGATGTGTCAATATCACTTTCAACGATGCTAGGTGCAATATTTGACGACGCTTTGTCAATTTCCGGAGTGACTTTTTTAAATGCTAAAATTGAAAAGTTATTTCGCATAAAAGAGTAATACTGTGTCAGAATATAAATATCCTTTAGCAGCATATTTACCCGTAAAAAGCAGGAATATGGTAAAATAAGCAAAGATCAATCTATTTCTATCCATTAATATATTTTATGCATTGATTTATGTATATAGAATGTAACGTTAATGTAAACGGAATTATTCTCTTCTTCTTCTATTCTTATTCCTGTCTGCTTCGCTGATGATACGACATACGGAATTGCCGCAATGAAGTTTGTTCTATATAATTAAAACCATGATGTAATATAAAGACAGGTGTAATTCTCATGTATGCGCAATAAAATAGTAGAGTAAATTTAGATCCAACTGTAATTGGCTGTTCCAGTATCCTATCACTATTATGCGCGATATTACACTTATAGGAAAATGTATTTGTGCAAATTTGATTGATTCTCTCTTTCTTATTAAAACATCGATGATTAAAATTTACATTAAACTGTTAAATTCATGTTGAATATAAAGTTCTGGACAAATAACAATCAATATTATATATATTGTCGCTATAAAATAATAGCCATGAAAAGAATCATTTCTGTGAGTCATAATTTAAAACTCAATTTAATATTATTAAAATGTATTGCATACATTTTCAGAACGTAACACGTATATTACATATGTATATAGATATATTTTGTACTAATATTACATATTTTATTTTTAAATATATTTTTCAAATTCAAATTTTTTACAGTGCAATCTTATAAAAATATTAAGGAAAATAATCCATGGCTCAACCATGCTTGCATTCTTGTAGTCATATTCTTCTTGTTGTCAGATTAAGACAATTTTAGTCTAAGAGAGAGTAATATCCGGAAATGAATTTTCTCCGTAATAGTTTACAAAGTAAGGACTTTTTTGTTTGTGCGTTCTCGAGACCGCTTAGTACTTTCCACATAATGATGTCAGGAAGACTTTGTCGTTCATTTCGCTTCACTTTCGCAAGTCGCAAACGGATCACGATTTTATCCCGAGCCAACCGAGGATGCCTTTGGTACCACAATCCTTCAGATGGCAGCTTTTCAACTGTGCCTTCTTGAGACCTTTAGTGCAATCTGCGGACAAACAATGACGCCAACGGACCTGTCGTCCTTGCCCGCAAGATACACTGCACGCACTCCAAATGCTCCAATTGTCCCAGGCTGCCCAATCTGCAATGAGAGGCAAAGAAAAAACAGAATTTCACACCTTCAACGTTCAATTTCATTACTGCATAAAATAATAGCTAAGAAAAATTTGTTACACAAATTTTATAAAATTATGAAATGCGAACTTACGAAACCGAGAATTTATTTTACAATATACGAAACCGAGAATTTATTTTACACATATAATATAACACTTTCTATTTCTCCATGTACTTCTATTACGTAATTAACATCTTTATAATTTTTCCTCATTACTTTATATTTATAAAATGCATTTTTTTTGAACTTTATATTATTTATATTATTTAATAAATCATGTTCAAAATAATATTTATGTAACAAATAGATTACAAAATTATTAAACTGAACAATTATTTAATTAATTCATTAATCATTTTTTGTAATAGGAAAATTATGATAATTACAAATAAAAGAATAAAGAAAAATTTTGTTAATGTTAAATTGCAGAAAAAATTAAACAGTCCATTCAAAGGAGTAATTTTAAAATATTCGTGTGTATAATAATACATTTATATTGGTATAGAAATATAATTTGACATAGCATATCTAATTTTTTACTAATATCTCTTATAATATCTTTTTTGCTATTTTCTTATCAGAAAGGATATTATAAAAGACATCGACAAAAAATTAAATGTTCGATGGTTTTTATACAAAATTATATTTTTCTTGTTATCTTATCACCTATATTTTCCTCGTTCGAGTAGATATTCTTTGCAATGACATCACGTTTCTTCTTCGTCAAATCCGACACTCTCATTTGGGTAATTTCATCAGGTATTCTTTTAAACCTGCTGTATCTCATAGGGTAAATTTCGAAAAAATCTTGCTCGTAACCAAGCAACTTTCGCCGATAGATTATATCAGCGCTCGTTTGAAAGTACAGCTGAAAATTTCTCTTCGTATTTTTCCAATAACGCTGTAATAATGAGGTCAGTGTCTTGTTTTATCTACCAATGTCTACGTAATATATGCAATAAGTATAACATATTTATTTAACAAATACGATACGGGATTCTCAAAGTTGAAACACGTGTATAGGTTTTTGCTTCTTATTTTGCAAACCTTGGGTTTGTCCGTTGTGAATCGTTGAATGGAACGATGACACAATTGTGAATAAATGTCTGAATAAAAGCGTCTTTCATCACTGAAATACGTCAAACTATTGAATAAACTAGTCAACAAGTATGCATATAGAAATGAGAACGTTTATCTTTCTTAACGTTTATTATAAAAACAACGAAAAAAATGTATTCTTCGCCGCGGTATGTATCTAATGGCATTCTCGTATTCATAAAGAAATAAAGAGATTAACAGATTTGTATTATAATGAATGTTTTGTAATGTATGTGTAACAATATAGCTAATATTCTTTGAATAGTGTGGCATTACTGCACCTTTTGGTTTCATCATTCGAATCTATAATCAATCCAATATTATACTCATAATTCGATACATTAATAGCAAATGCTCTGGCAGTGCAAGATTTCGGAAAATTTAATACTTCATAAATTACGCATCCGAAGTAAATATTGTACGTCAAAATTAGTTTAAGTAACATTTGCATATCATATTTTCGGTTCTTATTGCGCGGTTATGGACATATATAAATATCGATAAAAAACTGTGTCTAAATTCACAATACTCTTGTCTTTACCATTATATGCAAAACACAAATAGAAGCATTGAAAGCGTTTTAATGCAATATAATGTGTTATATTTATAGTTCTATAGACTATGTTTAGATGCCGTATCTGAAACGCGAAAGAAAATATTTTTATTTACGCTTTCTATCAATTAGAGAATATATTTGCATTTTTTCATAGTCAAGTGTAATGAAATAAAAACCAGAAGGAACAAATAAATATTCCTGCAAACATAATGAGAAATGTAGATTATAACATATATAAGTGTTATAAAATAACTTATAAAAAAATAATATTATGTTTATATTTTTAATATACTATTTTCTGTTTTTTTTTCCTTTTATTTCAAAATATCCCTTAATTGTGAATATTTCATAATTATATATAATTTATCGCTATTAAAAAAAAACAAAGTATTCATATTTTACATATAATTATGTTTCTACAATTTATTTATATTTAGAGATTTGATAATTAAACTTTAAAGGTTTACATAAAACTATATATTAATAATTATGCAATAAACATGTTCAATGGCAGTAATTAGTATAAAACATTACATTTCTATTTAAAAATGCGCTATAAAGATTATACATAATGATTTATGGGTATCTGACTGTGTATAAAAATACAACTAAATATTATCATCAAATTTTCCTATCATATAAGATGCATTACTGTTTCATGAAACTTCCAAAATATAAATCTGTGTATTGTATGTTACATATGGTTGTATGCATAAATACTCAGTAATAAAAAATGTTTCTATTAGTTTATGTGCTAATGATGATTCACAATCAAAAATTTATAATCATTATATATAATAAAAAATGTCCCCAAAATTTAGCCCATTTTGTGACTCTCGATTTTTTAACTGAACTGTATGCCAAACAATGCTATATGATCCCAGTAAGCAAAATGTCAGCAGACTAGCAACAGATTTGATTAGAAATGTTAGCAGATCGACATCAACTACAGGCGCATTCTGTTTCCATTGAGATTCTGTTGACAGAATTTGCTCACATAATCAGACAACAGATTGGTAACAGAAACTGAGCAGAAGCTGCAAATCTTGTTCGATTTTTCCCGCTAATCTGCTAACATAACATGTCAACAGGCTTTGCTATTTCTAATATATAGGCATATTTCTAACAGTTTGTCTAACACATATACATACATTGTCAAATATAGACTTTATGTGAAACTTGTAGTCTTTCTGCCATCAGAAATTGATAGTATACTCTATTTAAAATCTATCTCTAAGACTTGACTATCTAGAATAGGAACATTAATCACAGAAAAAAATTAAATTGAACATAGGGATAATTTTGAAGTTAAAATGGTTAAATTTCTAATATTTCCAATATTGTTCAAGCATTATAGACAAAAAGAAAGTTAATATATCCTTGATAATTAAATAGATAAAAAGAAAGTTAATACGTCCTTGATAGTGAGATTTTTATTAGAAGTAATCAGAATAATTTTTTCCTCTTCCATCCTTGTTGCTTATTTTTTTAAACTACTCTCAGAAAAGTTTTTGCGGAATTTCTCGAAAACAAATGCAAGAAAAAATATGTTTAGCAGATTATTTTGGTCCAGGATTTCAAGATAAACAACTTTTATCCTAAATATATTTTCGATGGTTCGATTCGAGATTTGAGAGTCACAAAATAAGTATATTAAAAAACGTGTGTTTTTGAGATCATTTTTTCTTGCAATATAAAAATATATCTACAACTAGATTAAGTTTTATCTACTTGAAGATAAAAATATGAAATATTAGTAAAATGTACATTTATCACATATAAATAAATTTTAACTCTAGCCGAAATAGATAATGCTTTGAATTATAAAGATAGTTAGAATAATTTAAAAAGCCCAACTTTAATTTTGGCAAACTATATAATTTATATTTAGATTACTTTAATGTCTGTAGATTTCTGCAAAAGAAACATTAAACTAATATGTTACAAATATCGGACTAATTATAATCTGAAGAAAGCTTTGTGTGCCCGACCATTCGGTATTTGACCCTGTAACCTCAATCTGCGGACAGCCTCTCTCAAGTGCTTTGGTTGTAATGGGCCAGTTTCATTTTGCGCCTCCATAACATCTAAAGCTGTGCGACAAACGCAATAATCTAGAGTAAAATTCTAATATTCTATTCTAATAATATCTATAAAAAAATAATAATTCCTACCTTCTTCAACAATTTCGCCAACAAATACCTTAGCAATTCCTGACATAGCTATAACAACGTTTTGAGATACTGAACAACCTGTTATGGTTTGCATAATCTGAAATATTTAATAAAATACTTTCTTAAAAAGAATAAAATTTTATTTTTTGTATGTAATGATTAAAAACTAAGATACAGTACCCTCTTTATAGCTGCTTTTGGAAATGCGGATCGTCTGTACATTTCGTACCTATCCAGCTGATCTTCAGTGAAGTTAGATACTAGCACCCTAAAAAAAATTTTCAAATATATTCTCAAGATAATGTGTATATAAACTTATAATGAATTCGATTACTTGTATTACATTAGAATAGTACATAATAAAAACTGCTATACATAACAAAGTTAAATGTAAAAGCACACACACGCGCATAAATATTTTAAATACTTAATAATAATCCCCTTATTTCAGAAGTAACATAACTAAAAAATTAAATTTCTCATAAAAGAGGAAAAATATTTTTTACCTTGGCAGAAAATTATTAATTAATCAATATTGGTAAAAAAAATATATTCTTAACACGATTCAGTGACATTTTTTTCATTTTTGTTTCACAATCTTTAAAGAATCATCCTTTTTGATTTATGACGATTTTTTTCAAATCATTCTTTTTGTGTTGTGATTATTAAACATCAGATACATACTGCATCTTTTCTCTCTCCTCTTCTTCTATCTCCTTTTTGCTCTTCTCTTTACTTTCCCGCCTTTCTTTTGTACTGACTGGATTAGCACGAGGTATTATAATGTCATTACTAAATATATCTTCAGCAGTTTGTTCTTCTACCTTCATATCAAGTTCTTGCTTCACAGTTTCTACTTGATTCTCTGCAACTGGGCAGGTAGAATTAGATCCAGTGTTTTCAATCTCCTCAGCATCTGATTGCGATTGAGAACTCATTGCATCTGATTCTGCCTATATAGTACAGATAATACAATTAGTTTATCTAAAATGGTTTTTTAATAAATCAAATTACCAGATATCTAATTTTTTTATATTATATAATGAAGTTAAAGAAATTGATGTGTGCAAAATTCTATGGTAGGTTAATAATGAAATAAGAAAGAAAAAAGTATTGAAAATATAACTTTTCACGTATAATAACTTAGTGACAGATAAGACTCACAGATGCTTCTTTGACTAACTGTACACAAATCTTATCATAGACTTTTCTCAAAAATAAGATTATAAAAAATTTTAAAAATTACAATTTTAATGGTCATAAAAAGATAATAGATTAACAGCCATTCTAGAAAGATATTTATGTGCACAAACTTGCATATAAATTTAATCTCGAAAAGTAAACATAATCTCTTGTTTTCGTTCGATGAAGATACAGCTCTTTTGATTTACTATCATATATTCCATATATCATTAAAATGTAATTACATGTAATTTTAATATTTTATTCAAATTATATAGATATTTGTAATTTTGGGTGAGCCTTGGTGAGACATCTCAAATTTTCAGCACTTTACTAAAGAACCACCTTAAAAGACAAGAGTTAATTTTTCGACAGTATTTATACCTTAACTTGTAAATTATCAATCTCCATAGCTTCAATATCTTTGGATCCTGAATTTTGTGCAAGACTAGTTTTATTATCTTCATGCTCTTCCACATTTTTATGCTCACTCTCCTTTTCATCCCCAGAATCTTCTTTTCCAAAGATATTATCCATCTTTCTAATGAAAAAGATATGTATAAAATATGTATAAAGTGTATAACACGAGTTATTAATCTGTTGCTATTATAATTTATATATTTACAAATATGTCACATAATATTAATAAAAAGAAAATCATACAAGATTATTACAACATATCTTAATACATATACAATAAGAATCATATTATAACATCTTATATCATCTTATTTGATGATATTTCATATGATAAGCTTATGTAGGTTTTCAAACAATTAAGATAATAAAGAGTTGCGTAACATCATTAATTATTGAAATATTGTTTATCAATACCTATACATATGTAATATGTAAACATATAGTTTCATATACATTTATATATATATATATGTTTCGTATATATGTATACATTAAATCGTATACTTATATATTTCATACACTTTCGTATATTAAACAATATTTTGCTAATAATGATGTTACATTACATTTTAATTCTTTCAAACCTCAATAAACTAAACATCATAAAATAAAAACATTACAATCTTGTAATATTCTTTTTATTTAATATTATACATTATGTCATAATAAGCATAAAAATCGTTTAGAGATTTGTTTTAAACGTTTTATAAGTTATAAAGCAAATAAAAAAGAATCATGCGGAGAAATAAATTACTCTACATGCTGCGGTCACTTTAGACCGAAATCAGACTACGCATAAAGAATGAGATTAAAGATTGAAAGATTGAAGTTTGACCAATCCACACAGAACAAAAAGAGCCAAAACTTTTTTGTCCTTATTGGTGAAATTTCAATCTTTAATCTTTAATCTTAATCTTCAATGCATAGTCTGATTTCGGTCTTAGAGTTTAGATTCATAGGTATACTCAGGTACACACATACTTACAACAAATATTTTATTGCAAAACATTAATTTATATTATTTATATTATTGATAAAACGATTTGCCACTAATATCAGTCAAAAAATTATATTTTTTAACGAAGAAATGTTGATCGAAATGGTAAACATCATACACAAAAACAGAATTAACAGAAGAAAAAAAACAGGATTTGGAAGAAAACAGATTCAGTGGAGTAAGTTGGAGTAAAAGCATAATGTACGCCACATAACACGAAACTCAAGTCTCAGGTTAGTTAAGGTTAGTAAAATTAGAGAGAAACTTGAGAACGACTATCCCGTTATATGAACCAAATCGCAGGTACACTAGCGCCAGTACATATATTTTCCATTTGGGAACTACATAGCTACGTATTGGCGATAAAAACACGGTGTCGAAAATCCATGTGGTGCATATCCGTGCTAAATCGCAGTGCTAAATGATGTGCTTTAGAAAATGTAATATAAATTATAATTTGTAGAATTATTATTTGTAGATTATTTAAATATTTGAAAATATAAAATGTACATATTACTTAAAATTCTACAACAAAATTCTTATGCTTATTCGCTAATTTGCAAGATAATATCGATATAATTTTGAGTTTATTTTCGAATATTAGTATATAGTATACACAAAATCTAATATCGTTCCCTTTTTTATTTATACACAAATAAATTAACGACTCAACAACAACATATTTTTTTGTAGTTAAATTACAAAATCAATTAAATGTAGTACGTTTTGATAAAAAACTTTATTCTTCTTTTATTATTTAATATTAATGATGCTTTGATAATAAAAAGATTTAACAGATTGAAATTATGGATAGTAATTGTTTATAGACAAATAAATTACATTAAATAAACTAAAATTACAAATATAAATAGTTTATTTTTTACTGAGTACCCAGACATTAATAAGATATTCATAATTTTAATTATACTACTGGATGTCTGAAACTGTTTTATCTCGGAAATAGAGCATTTTAGAAAAAAAAAACGTTTTAGACAAAAATTATGGTTTCAAGGTGTACATGGCATAGTGTCCATTAATCGAATAATCACTAATCTGTGAATGCTAAATCCATCTGAAAAATATTATACAAATCCTTATAGTATAATATATAATATAATCCTTATAAAAAATATAATATGGTCAAACGTTCTAGTTGTAAAATCTCAAATTTTGTCATAATAACTAGAAATTCTGTTTGGTTTAACCAAAACGCATTTAACTATATACGTTAATGTTAAAACATAATCAAACCATTTTTCACATGCATTTGACAGAATAAAAGATCTGTGATGAATTATATACCTGTATTAAAATCATCAAGACACTAAAAACTGTACAATTGACAAAAAACATGTAAAATAAATTGACCAAATATCGGTATTAGGTGACGATCAATTTTAATCTCTTTAGACTAATATATTTTTAAAGAATATGCTTACAGAAAATGTACACAGCAAAAAACATTGTGTATTTGTATTAAAAAAGTATTGGTTTATTCACGTTTTTGTTATTAGAATACTTTTAATTTCTATACACTTTCAAAATTACATTGACGGAAAAGTAAAGACATTTTTTCGTCAGCCATGGCACATATCACTTCGTTCCACTTCACTACAGAATAGATACAACACCCACGACATGAAACAATACAGCATGTTCGGCCGATTGGCATAATAATCGAACTGCTAGATTGTGCTGAGATTAATGTTAGTTAGAATTCTGATAATGATGCGTAAGTCTAAAAATTGTCGGTTGCTAAGTCCATCTGAAAAATATTCAAACATATATAAACAAATCTTTACATAGTTTAATACAATATAATATAATATAATCATTATAATATATCTATTATAATATTAAACATTCTAGTTGTAAAATCTCAGATCTTGTCACAATAACCAGAAATTCTGATTGTTTAACCAAATGCATTTAATTATATTAATCCGTTGACATCAAAACATAATCAAACCATTTTTCTCATGCATTAGAGAGAATAGAAGATCTATTATGAATTACATATTATACCTGTATTAAAATCATCAGGAAGGACAAAGTTGTACTGTAAAACTAAAAACAATATACTTTCATTACGCTTACTGAAAATATTTGCGTCAAATAAAGAATAATTAATATAAAAGAAGTTTTTGAATATATAAAATAACAATGCAAAATACACAAATGCAATTAAATGAGAAATGATTCTAATGTTGCCATTTAGATATTTATGTAATTTGCAGGATTAAATGTAAAAGTATTTGTTCTGTATGTATATGTTCTATTACATATGCTTATGTTTTTAATCAATATACGACGTACCTGGCAAATAAAATTATATCCAAAGTGGAAAAGTCCGATGCCAAATTTTACTTCTCTTTGTTTTATTTGCAACATAAATTGTAAAATCTAATTGAAATAAATAATTTAATAATTAAATATACACTACATTTATGACAGTTTGTATACTCGCATAAATTCTATCAAATGTATCATATAAAAAATTAAAATATTATTATAAAATATTAATTGTGTCATATTAAAATATTAATTGTGTTAGATATCAACCCTGTCCCCTGATTTAAAAAATATTGAAATTAAATAATATTTTGTTATTTTTAATTTAAATATGTCAAAATCAATTCATTTTTCAATTTCGAAGTAAACAGCGTTTATATTAATAATTAAATTTAATATAAATTTAATATATTATATTTAATAGAATTAAATCATTTAATTCCATTGTTGTAGTTAAATTAACGGCACATTGAGAAAAATCAATGGCAATTTATAGAAATAATTGAAAATAAAATTGAATATAATTTAGTATTTAAAAGTATTTTACATATTTTAGGCTATTTGTAACATATATTAATAATAATTGCAAAATTTTTATAAATTAATCAACTTTATATAACAAAATGTATAGTGTTTATTTTGTAGAACATTAATAGTATAATTAATAAATTTTAAATATTCGCTTTTGGCATATAAATTAAAAAATAATTGATAAAACTTTTTCTGGGTTATATATTCTTATCTATGATGTTAATATGTAGCATGCAAGTATCTCAAAATATATAAAAGTATAATACAATTGCTGTTTTATACTGTCCCAATTTTTTGCATAATCTTTCGATAAAATTTATATAGATGTCCAAACTTTTATTAGCGCTAGTAAAATTATATGAAATAAAATTCAAATTTTATAAAATGCTGTTGTGTTTATTTACCTGTTTACGTAAATCGTCATCGAGATTATAATTGGACAATTTGTAAGAAATTGCTGTTGTCTCGTTTATCTGAAATTGGTTTTATACAATGTGAAGATTTGTAGTAAAATTAAAGTTTTAAATTCAATAAGTTTAGGCCATTTTAAAGAAATTTTTGATATGTGTAATTTCATTGTAATAAAATTGTTGTGTTTATTATTTTAGTTATAAATGATTACTAATTTTTTTTACCTTGTAGTAAACAGTTTGATATATATAATTTAATGTGAGAAATATGATTTGATAGAAAATAAAATTAAAAATTCTATGTAACGTTGCTATATTATGTTGAAATGTCCATAAGGTCACCATATTTGTAAGGTACCAATACATTAGAACATATAATTCTATAGTTTCTACACAGTTCCACATTATATACATTAATATTTGTATGTTGAGTATTTTGTTTAGTTTGCGTGATATAAGGCATAGTTGTAGGTGGACTTGCCTATAATTAAATCGTAATTGTTATATAATTAATCAAACCATAAAGACACGTATGAGAAGTACTAAGCAAAATATATTTTTAGCGCAGAATTCGATTTAAAATATAGTTGTAAATTGCGATCAGTTCAAAATGTGCGATTATTTTACGTAGTTGAAATAATTATTTTTGTATATATAAAAAAAGGCTCCTATATACATATATATTATTAGATAAGTTCATTTGGGGTAAATGCTAGAAATCTATAGGCAGAATTTAAAAAAATAATAGATTATTTTGAAAAGAATTTAATAAGCTTTAAGATAATGATATATAAAATTTAATTCAAATTTCATTTTTTTTTCTAATTAAAGAAATGTTAAAAATGAGCAAATCGCAAAGTCAAAAAATTATGCTCCTAATATGAGATGCCCTGAGAAATCGATAGTAAAGTATGCAATTAAAAACTGCATTAAAAATGTTTCTGAGATACAAACACAGCCAGTGTGCGCGAAAAATGAGCATGCAATAGATTATACTTAGAATTCGTCTTTAGATAGTTGGGATAAAGCATCCCAGAAATAGGCATTCAACGTTTATTCTGGTTGTCTTTTTTATTATTGTACAATAACATTTATACTTTAGCAACGATTTTCATTATAACTATAACAAGGAGCATGGGTTATTTTTATATTAGAAATATCCTGGGTATCTCATATTACGATTTCCACGTCTTATGGTTTTATGATCATCAAATCTACTTCTATAATTAAACAATTCAATATATCCCGTATTTTTCTATTAGTAGAGATACGACCTTACTCTCTCACTATATAAAGAATTTATTGCCAAATAGTTATTTTTTATTAAATAATAAACAAGATTTAAAAACTCATCTCAATAGAACTTGAAGACATCCAAATTCTAAAAGTTTGTTTTACAATGATTTCAGATATGATCTAATAAAAAATTTTTTACTAAATAGTTTTGAATCTAAGAGCAATAAATTCATGTGGATCCAAAATAACGTTTATTAGTTTAGCAGAAACGCCGTTATTTCATATTAGACGCTTATTTCATAATAGTGGGATTTCCTTTACAAAAATATATGCATGTATACACACACACGCGCGCGCGCGCGCGCGCACACACACACATACATATATTTTTGTAGATATATAGCCTGGGTAAAACTTTATATAGTATATGTATATAGTATATGTATATACTATGTATAAAATGTTTTATTTTAACTTATGCTTCAAAATATCTCTAAAAGTATATAAAAGATATGGAGAAATATTTCAGATAAAAGTGAAACGGTTTCGAAAG